CCACACACTCCAAAACAATTTGAAGATCCCAGAGTTCTTCAAAGCAGCCCTCCTGGGTAGCACAGCAGAGGGCATTCGGATTTCAAGGCAGCTTGCTTTTACCATCTCAAGTCTTCCAGCAGATTTCAAATTTTACCTTCAAAGGGAAAAGATGTTGCCCGTTTTTACGCAAATCACTAGTCTCTGGTTTGATGAGCAAAATTTCATAGACAGTGAATCTACCTGCAGTAAGGAAAGAGAGTATGTAATCAGTTAGCTTTGATTCTGAATAACCTGATTCTAGGGGAGTCTCACCTGGGCTGAGATAACTCAGGCTTCCGTCCTTTCTTGTTCTTGTGTTACTATACCAAAGTTGGAATGAAGACTCTGGACATACGATAAAACAACTCTATACAGCTGTGCTCAGTCATCTTCCCTGATGGCGTATTTGTTAAGTAGCAGACAGAAGTCAGTGTGTGCTTGATTCCACGGAGCCAGAACACACAATTTAAAACATTCATTCTATGTTTAATCCCTGTAGGAGCAGAGTTGGCCTGTGACTGGTTAAAAGGCCACATTTTGATTGGGATTTACAGAAATGCCTATGGGTGTACTTGAACTCAGGATGCAATGGGCCTAGTGAAGTTGCCCAACTGCTTCGTTAGGCTTCCTGTAATTGCTCCAGGTGAAAAGGAGGGAACCAGGGCTTTTATCCTTTTAAACATGTCTAGGTGGTTAGGGTCTTAAATGCTAGTCCACAGGTCTCCTTCATTTCATCAAGAATTTATGAACAAATATTCTCTTTTTTTTCCTTTGAACAAATATTTTAATGAATCATAACTTAGCAACTAGTTAAACTCAAAAACTAGCTAAAAATCTAGTCTTTAACTTTTTCACCTAACCATGTCATCTGTTTGCCTAAGGTGTTTTAATGATACCCAGAAGTCTCTGTGCAATATAGAGAAACATGGTAGGTGGATAACCAACGGCCAATGGTTGCATGCCTTGAGAATTGGGCTGCAGAACTGAAGTTTTCCAAGACATGGAGGGATAACTTGAGATATTGGGGATGGATGCTGAGTTTGGTGGTGGATTTGGTGCTAGAACACCACATCTGAAACTCTTTCAGGGCACCAAAATAAAAATTGAGAAATGGATAAATACCTAAAAATAAATTTGGAAAATAAAAAGTAAAGGATATTAACTGAGCACTTTAAAAAAACTAATTAAAAAAATCAACCGCTAAGACCAGGAAGTTGAGAAAATCACATTTCTGAAACCAAAATGACTGATGCTAAGACACACTATTGTTAAATTTTCAAAATCCTCTAATAAACAAAATGATAGCTATTTTAATACCATCAATAAAGATTAAAAAGGACATCTGCTATACATAATCAACATGCCATTGTTAAGTCAATGATAAAGCAAAAAGTTGTGAAGGCAGCTATGCAGGGGTTAGGGTTGGAGTAAGGAAGTCACAAAGACAAGTAATAAAACTTCATTACGTTTCTCAGAAGAAACGAGATAGGGTAGGAGAGATTGGAATGATATATTCACAATTCTAAATAATAAAAACTGTCATTCAAAATGACCTAGAAGAACATCATGCCACCCTCGAGAACATCATGCGACGACTGGAATGGGAAGGAATGGGAGTGAAGATAGATGGTCGGCAACTACACCACCTCCGCTTTGCTGATGACATCGTTCTAATAACACCAAACATCAGCCAAGCGGCACAAATGCTGGCCGACTTTGACCGTGAGTGTGGAAAGGTAGGACTACAGCTGAATCTTACGAAGACAATGTTTATGAGAAACAGCCTTGTTCCTGATGCCCCATTCGCTCTCAACGGAACGACCATCTCCGAATGCAACAGTTATATATACCTAGGTCGAGAGGTCAACATGACAAATGACCTGGCACCTGAGCTGCGCAGGAGGAAGAGAGCGGCTTGGAACGCCTTCAAGAACGTCGAAGAAATAGCTAAGATGACGAAGAACCTCCGGCTCCGAGCACATCTCTTTGATTCCACTGTTCTTCCTGCATTAACACATGCCTCAGAGACCTGGGTCCTACACAAACAAGATGAGAACGCTATTCAGGTCTCCCAAAGAAGAATAGAAAGAGCTATGCTTGGAATATCACGTTTCACTCAAATGAGAGAAAGAATCTGGAGTTCTGACATCCGTCGATGATCAAGGATCAGGGACGCTGTCTCATTTGCCAAGGTGTCAAAAATCAGATGGGCTGGTCACGTAATGAGATTTAAAGACGACCGTTGGACCAGAGCTGTTACTGATTGGATTCCACGGGATGTCAAAAGACCACGTGGCCGCCCACCTACCAGATGGTCAGACTTTTTCGTCAAGATCATGAATGATCGGTCTGAGGCCCTTCATGTTCCCGGAGCGAACAGATGCCATTGGGCTACACTAGCACGCCACAGGGACAAATGGAGACGTTACTGGCGCCCGCTCGAGCAAATCGACGACTAACGGGAAGTTAAGTGATTAAGTGATTAAGTCATTCAAAAACACTTTACCCTGAAGAATTATTAATTTAAAAATATGGTAAAATAAAGTCTTCTACGAACAAAAAAACTGAGTTCACAGTTAATTGAGAAGTTCTCAATAAATGTTAAAAAGAAGTTATTTCCCATGAAAACTAACAAACAAAAAACTTCAGCAAGTCTATCAGGTGTAGCAGAAGTGTAGTCAACAGAACCATGGCAAGTAAAGACAAGATAGAATCTGTGTAATTAAAAGGACTTATACCAACAGAAACAAATGACATTTTAGATATATAAAACTTGACTGATAACAGCCCTCATGGTAACCACAGAACCAAATTCTACAATGGAAGCATTCGGAAGGGGGAAAATGCAGAAATTGAAAGAATTACAAGGGAAAATCACTTGAAAAGGAATAATTTTAAAAGGGAGAAATATATAATAACTTGAAATCAAAAGCTAGACTCCCAACATGTAAGCAACAGGTATCAATAATCTCTTTGCATATGGATGATCTTACCTTCGCATAGGGTGAGTGGATTTTTATAAAATCAAGAATGTATCTATATTATACTCACAAGAATATAACAGTGTTCAGCCAGGACAATCTGTTCAGGCAAAGAGCAAGGGTCTCCAAGCAGCAAGACAGAGAAAAAGGCTATAAGAGGTAAATTATGTCAAGCACCTTAATCTGATTGACATTTGTGTGAGACTCAGAAATCAAGAACATCAACAGCAACAAATGGAACAGGAAAATATCAACTATGGAGACACGTGTTTCTGAGTAATTCTTGGGTCAATGAGTAAATTAAAAGAGATACCAAAAATTATAGCTACCCTATCTTATGGGCTGCAGCAAAACCAATATTTTTGAGAAGGAAATAGATTGCAAAATGGGCACGTATCAGTTAAGGAGATCAGGAAGGGCCCTAGGGACAGTGGTGGAAATTATTGGCATTGTGGGGTTGGCGCGATAGCACAGTAGGTAGGATGTGGCCTACCCGGGTTCGATTCCTCCATCCCTCTCAAAGAGCCTGGCAAGCTCCCCGTGACATATTCAATATGCCAAAAACAGTAACAACAAGTCTCACAATGGAGACGTTACTGGTGCCCGCTAGAGCAAATCTATGAACAATGGGAGGACGGTGCTACCGTGTCACAGTGCTACAGTGGTGATGACTTTTGTAACATTGCATATCTAAAATACCGATATTACTACTATTGTAAATTGTAGCATCTCAATAATTTAGATAAATAATTAAAAATATTCACAATGCAACCAACCTTAAACCTAAATGAACTAGAAAAGTTTTCACGAATTGATTCTGCTGATTTTTCATGCCCTTCCTGTAGTTATTTGTATTCCACGAATGAATGAAATCAGCCAGTCTTGAGTGAAGGACTCTGGTGCTTACCAGAGTTAAAGGGGAGAATGAATCAAGGACGGTTGTCGGTGGTGAGACAGCACAGTAGTTTGCATGGTCTGTGGCGTGCCACCCCCATCAGAGAGCTTTAAAGGGAAAACCCCAAAATGTCCCAATGTTGTACATTGATCATAAGCCAAAATTATAGTTTGAAAATGATCCACTTTTCATCTTATAATAAATGTTATAATAGTGTACTAAATTACATTGCTACAAAATTCTGCATAGGTATAGTTAGACAAACACTTGGACATGATTTATATCATTATTTTGTAGTTTTAGGCTATTATTTTGTCTCTTAGTTCTTGGGCCACACCCGGCTATGCTCATGGCTTCTTCTGGCTCTACACCCAGGAATCACTTTTGCAGTACCCCTGGGACCATATGGGGTGCCAGGAATTGAACCCGGGTCAGTTGTCTGCAAAGCAAGTGCCCTGCCCATGGTACTCTCACTTCTTTAAGGCTACCGTTACTTTCAGAATCAGGAAGATTTAGTTAAGCACTAGGTGATAGGGCCAAGAACTTGAACAATATGTCTGACTAAAGTATCTAAACATTTTATATATACGTTTAATTAAAATGGGTAGTAGTTGTGGCAGTAGTAGCAGTAGTAGCCGCAGCAGCAGCAGCAGCAGTAATAGTAGTAGTAGTGGTAGTGGTAGTGATAGTAGTAGTAGTAGTAGTAGTAGTAGTAGTAGTAGTAGTAGTTTACACCTATGGTTGTGGTTTTCGTCCAGTCTCTCGGGTTCTGAGGAAGACTCAGTCACAGTAAGCCTTGTACAGCACGTAAGTTTGTTTCTCACAGAGACCTATATAACTGACACAGAAATAATTTAGAGGTGTGAAATCCAAAGGCATGGTTGGATAGACAGAGCCACGGAGCGTCTGTGCAGAAGGGTATCACTTCCTGGAGGATATGGCTACTGACCTTGCATTTTCTGAGGAGCCCTGAGGATTTGAAGTGGCAAACCAGAGAGCGAGTATATCTGGGGTCCCGGGGCCGGAGGGAGGGATGCAGAGGGCACGAGCGATGGGATTGCATGTGACCCTGGCGTGCAGTTAACTCTCCTGTCTCTTGGCAGGTCTCATTGTCCGGGAGGTGAGCATCGAGATCTCACGGCAGCAGGTGGAGGAGCTCTTCGGGCCCGAGGACTACTGGTGCCAGTGCGTGGCCTGGAGTTCGGCGGGCACCACCAAGAGCCGGAAGGCCTACGTGCGCATCGCATGTGAGTGCCCACGGGGGTCCCGGGGACGCCCAGGCTGCCTTCCACAGCTTCACAGAACACCACCCAAAGCCCAACTCCCCCTGGAGTATCCCTTTTCTTCTCATTTTATTATTTGAGTCACTGAGTTGTTTTTTCTTGAGGGATGTGGAAGAATAACTGCTCTTCTCACATGGTTCAAAGTTCCATTAATCTGATAGTAATTAAGCTGTGGGAACACCCCACTTCTGTTCTTTAATTGGTTTATTTTTATAGCTTGTTAAAACCATGTTGACTGTTTTGCTAATAATAATAGCAAATTGGAAATTGAGATCACCCAGACTTAGCTTTTCTCTTTATTTTGGAGCCTTGGAGCTTTCTGGAATACCCCACTAATTTTCAAAGTTCATTTCTTGTTTCAGCGACGACATATATTTCTTTCTCGGCCAGAGGGATGGCGGAGCGGGGAGGGTGCTTGCCTTGATTATGGTCGAGCCGGGTTTCGTATCCGGCATACCAACTGGTCTTCGGAGCACCACGAGGAGAGATTTCCTGAGTGCAGAGCCAGAGGAACCCCCTGAGCATTGCCCGGTGTGGCCGCAAAAAACAAAAGCGAAATGAAACAAAAAAAAAAGATCCCTTGTCCATTCTCTCCCTCTTCCAGTTGCTGTGAACACGTCCAAGTGAGAGTTCTTGCCTCCTCCTTTTCCCTCTTCCAATTCGTCATCTATTCAAATGCAGTTTTCCAGAAAGTCAAGGCTCCATTCAGCTCAACGTCATTTCTACCTAAGAGTACGCATTAATTTGTGAGATGAAACTTCTAGATGGCATCTGCCAGCATATTAATTTTCTTGAGATGTCATGTCGGTTCTCTTAAAGAGCAGACATGTGTTTTTCCACAGTTCTGAGCTCTGAGAGTGCAGGACCCAGGGCCCCTTAGGCTGCTCGCCTGACGCTTCTCTCCATGTTGTTCTTCTCTGCATGGCCAGCCCCCCTCTGACCCTGCACCTAGAAGGCTTTGCTCGCCATGACTCCTTTCCTGTTAGATTAGTCCATCCTGATCGCTTTGTTTGGTCTAGTCACCTCTTTGAAGACACTATTTAAATAGAGTCACGCCCTGTGGTATTTCAGATTAAAACTTGAAAATTTTGGAGGTGGAAATTCAGCTTCTGAATTCAGCCCAACATTCATTCGAAGGGGCAAGATTTTTGATTTCTATACTGTATTATTTTATGATTCTGTGCTTTATTATTTCTGTACCTTCTTAAGGCCCCCTCCTATTTCCCTTCATTATTTATAGGAATTGTTCTCAATATATATTTGTTAAGCATTTCCTCTGTTCTTGGGAATTCTTAGAAGTATTGGCTGTGGAGCCAAAAGTGTATGCCATGATCCATTTCCTCATGAACTTAAGCTCTGGTGAGGAAGGACAGGCTATAAATAATCGCCAGGAATAGAGCAGCTGGTACATGATATGGGGAGTGGAGGGGTGTGTGAAGTGGTAAATGTTCCACTCAGAAAGAGACTGAGGGAAGACCCAAGTTTGACATTGACCTTGAAGACTCCAGAGGAAGGGAGGGAGTTCGGCAGAGGCGACAGAGGCTTTAAGTACAGAAACACTGATACGTGCGTCTGGGCACAGAATGATGGACGCACCTAGAGGAGTTGAGAAAAGTTAGGTGTGGAGGTGAGGATGGGGTGGAGGAGCAACGAGGAGACAACAGTATTGATTTTTGTTTGTTTTCTGGTCTTACTCCCGCTTCTTCGCCCAGGGATCTTTTCTAGCAGGGCTCAGGGAACCTTGTGGGGTGCTAGAGATTGAACAAGGCGTTGGTTGCATGCAAGGCAAGCCCCCCTACCCTCTGTACTATTGCCGCAGCCCCCCGTTCTGAATGTATAACATCATGAGTTATTTGTATAACTTAGGAATTTAAGAATTTTTTTCAGCAGAGTAACACACGAGAGGTTACCTACTTAGTTCAGAATGGAGCATGGAGAAGCAGGATGCGAGTTGGGAGAGAGCAGCTATGGGGTAATGTGAGATATTAGTCTAGCAGACATTGGGGTAGCAGCAGGGACAAGACTCGGTATTGTATGTTTGTGTATGTTTGCACACACAGAGGTCAGAGTTCATCGAAAGATGGGATGGGGGTGTGAAGGAAAGATTGGAAGGGCTTAACTCTTTTGTGAGACTTTTCCCCTAATTCCCTAGGAAAACCTCTACTGCCTCCTGGTTTAAGGGTTCCTTTCTCACAGTTCTGCAAGAATGTTTTCCACTTATTGAGGACTTGCCTCATTTAATTCATTGACAATTAATTCACTTGTAATGTCTGTGCTTCATGCCAGTGAATTCCTTGAGAATTGGGCTTTTAGTGGGCAACTTAATGTCATAAGTACATGTTGATTTTTGATGACCACACGTGAAACAATAAAATAAAGAAGTGAAATCATTAATTTGGGGGGTTCCAGGTAGATTAGCTAAAGTGGTACAGCACATGGCCATGGTCTTCTGAGTTCTCTCTGACATTGCCTAGACCCTGAGTTCCATCAAGCTTTGCCCTGCTGGCCTCCAACTGTATTTAACTTAAAAGTTTATCTCTAGGGCTGTGAGTATCATGGATGTTCAATACATTTATATCGAATTAAATTATGTTTCTAGGGAAGTTCATTTTCATTACGGAATTATTCATTGACCTTTTCTGTGTCTAAAGAGATTCTCTTGGCATGCATTCCACACCAAATAGACTATTTGGGGCAGTGTTTATGCACATGTATGTGCGCTGAGGAACAGTCTCTGTGGGAAGATGAGAGAAAGGCAGACAGAGAAGTTGCATTGCAGTATGGGTACCCGAAGGGTGACCCTGCAGTACGGGTGCCTGAAGGGTGATACTACAGTATGGGTGCCTGAAGGGTGATACGGCAGTTTGGAAGCAATGAAGGATGACTACTTTGGTTTTATTTATTTATGTATCTATTTTATATGTTTTGTTTTGTTTTGCTTTTGGGGTGACACCTGGTGATGCTCAGGGGTTATTCCTGGTTCTGCACTCAGGAATTACTCCCGGCGGCGCTTGGGGGACCATATGGGATGCCGATGATTGAACCCAGGTCGGCTGTGTGCAAGGCAAACGCCCTACCCGCTGTGCTATCGCTCTGGCCCAGGATGATTTCTTTGGAAGCTCCAGATCCAGACTGCGCTACAGGCGCATGTGGAGTTTCAGCAGGAGGGCGGGTTTGATAGGTGGTGAGACATAAGCTACAACTTAAGCTTTAACTTGTTTCATCCTCTTTCTAGCCCACCAAAGTCAGGGCAGCTCTCCCCCCACCAGCAGCCGCTGTTCACCAGTGCCCAGGGTGGTTTCCTGCAAAAAGAGCCTCACAGAGCACATTCCCTACACTCTTCTACCACAAACAGTGGAAACTAATTTTAATTATGAAGAAAAAATAAATTCTTTGAACATTTAGAAAATAACGAAATTTTTAAACATGTAGAGCAATTTTAGCATAATTTTAGTATATTATCGTAATACCCAAAGGGAACCATGATGAAATATATCTTATTTATCTTTCATTGTTATTTGATTCATTTTATGAAGAATGTATTTTTAATTCCCGATATATATACACCTTAATAAATGGGCTTTCCTAAAAGCTAATCTGTAAGGACTACATAGTTTCAACTGGTGACTCTCTTGTTAATAATCTTTTAATTTTAATTGATTTTATAGAGAATTGTTTGTAATATCTCAGTATATTTTATTTCACTTGAAATTATATATATATATGAACCTCCTCTTACATTTCATAGCCATTAAATGTAGATTTCCATTTTCAACATAAAAAGAGAGAAATCTCTTCTTTCAGGAAGATGAGTTTTCCCATATTTTAATCCTATGACTGAGGCAGAGTTTTGATTCTATTGCCATAATTCATGGAACTGGAAGAGAAGCGAGAAAAAACTATCTTATGTCAAGTTTTACTCAGATTGAACATCAATGTGGAAAAAGTAAAACTTAAATTTCAAGTTTTCTCTGTCAGGGCAGTTGCAGTTCAAATGAGACTTTACTAACATTATAAAAATCTTACAGTTTCCAATGTCCCTTTTATCAAGTGAACTGAGTGTTTTCACCTTGATGTTTGATAGGTGATGAGACATAAGCTATAACTTAAGCTTTAACTAGTTTCAGGTAAAGATCCTCCCTGATGCTAAGGTCAAACAAGTGAAATTGCCCTCATTTAATTAGATTTCTAGTCTTTATTTCTAGTCTTTACTGAAAAGAAATTTCTTCTCAAATTTGCAGAGGATAAATGAATCTTGGCTGATTTTAAAGCTTGCTTGTAGTCTTTCATATGTTTACACTACATAAAATACAAAATTGAGTTTGTTGGACAACAGAAAAGGACAGAGGGACGTACGAAGTTCAGGTTCAGACAGGAGTGAGCGGAGAACAGAACAGACTTGCTCGGAAACCATATACATCTGCCAGAGCACCTTGACCAGTCTCCTCAGGGGGCCTGTGCTTCTGTACAGGGGGACATTTCTTTCTGAGAAAACTCAAGTGGACACTGCAGCCACTGTCCAATGCAGAGGCCTCCGGTCAGGGAGTTCAGGGTCTTGCCTCATGCGCGGTCCAGAAACCCAGGGATGAGCTCTGGAACACAGGGGTTTCCTTAGCATCAGCAGGACTGAGTCTTGAACACAGCTGGGTGTTGGGAAAGCAAACCAGGACACCAGTGGGTCTGAAGCAATAGTACAGCCGGGAGAATGCTGGCCTTGCACCCGTCCAACTGAGTTTGATCTTCCCCTATGGTCTCCCTAGCACCACTAGGAGTGATTCCTGAGTTCAGAGCCAGGATAAAGCCCTGAGCATCGCTGGGTGTGACCCAAAAGCATTTCAAAAAGTAGCACATTGAGGGTGGGAGAACAGCAGTGTTACGAGGGCTCCTGTTCCTTCCAGTGTTGTGTGTCGGCCCGTGGGGAAATTCCAAGTGCAAAGAAAAGGAAACAAATTTAGGCAATATAT